CATGGGAGAAAGTGGATGAATAGTTCCAAAGTTCCAGGTCCTGGGTGCCGAACTTGTCAACTCAGCAGGTATTTTGTTTGGGATTTGGTGCAGGACACTTCATGGGACGGTAATATATTGGCTACATCAACCCCCAAACCAACACTGGCCGTTTCGCAGTCCCGGACGGAGTCTTCGAACGAACGGATCGTCCAACGAACGAACGGTCTCCTCGCCACGGACCTTCACGAACGGCTGGCTGTAGAGTGCCGAACGGCTTCGTGTCCCAAGCACCACAGGTTCGCTTCGAACCCTCCCAGCGCCCAAGCACCAAACCGAAACCAAATACTTGGAGCCCTGGGGCCGGCTCGGTCTTCCACCGAAACGAATCACGTCGCACCTGGTCCGAGCTCGCCGGTGCCCAGGTCCTTGAACTTGGGCTCTTCCATCGAGCGGGGGAGTGCTCTCCAAGCCACCGAGATGATGGACAGGAGCGAATTGCTTCTCTCGAAGAACATGGGGCCGAACGACGAACGAAGCGCAGGGGCACGGTAGAACGGAGCGTGGCCGAACGAAGGCGAGCGGAGATCCTGCTGGTGCCACCAGCTTTTGATTGATCCACCCTGGGGTACCTCATCAATGGCTACGAATTCACGGCACGGGCCCCAAGGGTCTTTGATTGAATGTTCTGTTTTGGAGGCCGCGTTGGCCTCTATAATGGAGGCCTTCTGTAAATCTTAGAAACTATTTATATACTAAATCTTGGAAACTATTTACTAAATCTTGGAAACTATTTACTAAATCCTAGGAAGTATTTGCTAGGTCCTGGACACTATTAGCTAAATCCTAGGAACTTCCTAGGAACTATTGGCTAAATCCTGAGAAACTGTTTGTTAAATGCTAGACTATTTACATCAACTTGGACACTATTGGCTAAGCACCTACCAAATGCAGGCAAATCCTTCTAAACGACTGGAGGGTCTAAGCAGAAACCACTGACACGCCCAAACATCTTTCAGCTAAAGCTACAGGACCTTGTTGGATGCCACAGCACATCTTAGCAAGGTGCCACTTGAAGTACTTGTGTTTTTCAACCTTTCAGAGATGGAAACCTACTATGACACAAGTCAACCAGCCTGGAGGTGAGGGAACACTCCATCTGGTGCAGTGCTAAACCTACAGCACGTTCCTTGCACGATTCCATTTTGATCAATTTAGAGCAGCCTGTGACTGTGAGTTTCAGCTTCCAGTGCTGTCATGTCGTCGAGCGAAGAAGACAAGTCTGGCTGTGCCTCCCTGGCAAGAAGCCTTTTGCGCCTTGACGATCCTTCAAGTGATTCTGAGAAGCTTGGACTTGGACTTGTGAGACTCAATGATTCACAACTCAACTCATGATTCAGAATACCCAGAATACCACTATGAGACTATGTGACTATGTATGACTCTATGACTCTATACTGTGTACTGTGTTAGAAGTTATTTGAATATGTTATCAATCAAGTGAGGGGTGTGAAGGTGTGAAGTCAGAACCCAGAACTTTTGGACTGATTCAATCATGTCTTCAGTCTGGCTGTCCCTTGCCTTTTCCCATTCCCCGCCCTAGATGCTTGATGTGAGGGTTGAAATATGAACTGAATAGGTGATGGACCAGTGGAGGATAGGATCTCTCGTGAGGAGTGGCAGCTCCAACGAGATCATGCCTCCCAAAGCTGCTGATCCACAGCACCTCCGACAGCCTGAAACATTTCAGTGGCCTCACCTATACTGCGAGAAGATTGGACTGAACCATTTGGCTCCCCATTTGGCAGACATCACGAATCTTGGATGGCACGCAGTGGTCAACCAAATGTCAAACACAGTATTTGGATAATACTGCCTGCCGCATACCGGACAATTTAAGTACTGGCTTCATTACCCACATACACACCAGCCGTGTCGAGCACACAATCAACTTGAGCTGAGTTAAGACATTTGATGTGGGTGTGATGCCTCGTCCCTTAATCATGAGTCGTTTGGTATTGACGGTTGGAGAGTGTGATAGTCCCAAAAGTTATGAGCAATAGAGGCGGTGCAACACTTTTTTGGTGCGTAGTACATTGTGGCTGACTGCTGAGGGTCAAGATCAAGGAGGGTTGTGCTGGAGCAGCTACAGGGACTTATTGCTTGTCCCAACCTTAGACTATGGGTGAGAGCCAAAAGTCGAATCCTCCCAAAAACTGCGGGCAGACTTGCACTCTGTACTCTTGAAAGAGTCTTTGTCTTTGTGGAGTAATTAGTAATCCTTGTAGTTCAGTCAACTTCTCTTCAGTCTTGTGATGTCGGCACTTTGGGTCTGAGTCTAAATTAATATAATAGATTTTATAATTTATATATGTAACATACAGACATGATAATATATCGTTTGTGAAATCTTGGACGGACCTTGGAAACAGAAGATGTCAAGAGTAGAGTCAAAAGCTAATCACCCAACTCTTCGAATTGACTGCCAGGCGGCAGCTGTCTGATGAGTTGGGTTTCAAAGCTGCGACATTGAGTTGCAGCGACTCAGACCCTGGAAAGCTTAAGTTCTTGAAGCAGAATTATCCAGGCACGAGTGACTTGACAGCAACTATTGATGGGCTGACAATGCCATGGAGAGTGGGCCTGTGGGGTCAGATTGTTGTCACTTTGCTATTCGCTTTGCTAAAAGCTAGGGCTTCATGATGGTTGCCAGTACTAAAAAAGTCACAATCGATGAATCAATCAATCCCCACAACTGAACTTGAAAGCTCATGGACTCATATGATCAGTGATGATGCTGATGCTCTGTTGTGGAACCTCAGTTGGCCACCTGTTCGAGAAGATCGAGACTCAAGAACATGGTGGTGGGAAGTGCTTGCTGCACGACATGCATTGTGCAGATCCTGCCGATGACTCTTGATGACAAATAACAGCCAACAAGACAAGACTAACAATACCTGAGTAACTGAAATTCATTGATATTGCTACACACTACACACACATATCATATCATTTCATATCATCAATTATCGAATCATAATATATCATATTTGTCACATCACATAGCGCACCTCACATATCACATATCTACAAATGATTCGATTTGATGATTCGATACTCTATTTACAATTTGCTATTGTTTAACTGTTTACTTTGTGATTTATGCAGGGATTGAATCACAGGCGGCTATAGGAGAGGTACCTCACACTGACACCTTGCATTTGGACTCGCAGGAAGACATCTTTGCCTTTGGACCTCCATGCACCCCATATACGAGATTGTCGACGAAACGCAAATCAGATGATTACGCGCCATTCGCAGATCCTGCCAGCTTTCCATTTGTCACTGGCTCACGATACGTGAGAAGCTTGGTCGAGATATGCCATTTTACCCACTCGCCCAAATCAATCTGAAAGTTGGGCAGGGCAAAACGATTTGTTTGGCACACGGCTGGCAGTGACTCTGGAGTTGTAAGTTGTGGTGAGCTCTGAGTTTGTGAGATGTTGTGAGCGGTGGTGGAGCTGGATTCTTGCAAATTTGACTTCTGACTCAAGTTTGTATACTTGCTTCTAATTGACTCTTGACTAGGTACCGGAGGAGTTTTTCGGGAAAGTGTACTGTAAGACTCTAAGACCCAGGAGTCGAGTCTGCACCTGAGCCCTCGAGTGACACCTTCGAGTTGAGGAAAGCACCGCCCGCCCATGGTGCTTATGGAAGAAGTTGCCTGGCTGCACCCATCGCATCATCGTATATTGAATTGTTGAATCAATGAATCCAATCATTTGACATCCAGCTTTAGAGTTGAAGCTTGCTTTGAACTGCACTTGAACAGAGAGGTGATGAAATCAAATGTAGCTGTAGAAGTCGATCTTCACAACCCAGAATTCCAAAAGCAATAAATAGATTGCAGGCTCCAAATTGATGTCATTGTTGAGGGCAAAGCAAAGAGTTTTCTGAAGACACTTCACTGGAAAATTTCCTTTGTTGTTTGCTAGCGCTGGTCTTCAATTGAGGTTGCGGATGTGCTGCTTCCTTTCCCGCCACAGTGCAAGGGAGAATTCTACCAGCGCTACAAGGTCGGGGCGTCCAGTCAGCATGATGGGCATGCTGCTGCATTTTGCATGCTGGTTGTCATGCTTCTGTTTAGAACTAGTCAGACGCAGTCGAGGGCTCGAGATTGAATCTGTTATCGAGGTTTCAGAAAACCCTCTCAATTTCAGACTGAGGCAACCAATGACCGGGTCCAGTCAACTCTCCCATGACAAACTCCGTGATTGTTTGTACAAAGATGCAATTTTGACGCTTAGCTTAGCATTGTCATTGTTGTGACTCCATATAATATAATAAACAAACAAGATAATTATATAATATAATATTACTTTATCACACGCAAGCAAACACGCAAGGAAGCAGGTTAACAAAGGACCAGCAAAATGAACTGGTGCAAGCACATCACTGACACTAGTCGCCCTTGTCACATGTCCATATTTTTGTCTATTTGATAGCAAGCTAAGACCAGCAAAAATAACATTGCTGGCCACTGCTGTGCCATGCCACTATTGGACTTATGCAGTGATGAGACCTGTGAGCCAAATGAGACAGGAACAGTGGAGGAGTCAGAGACCGAACAGTGTAGACAGAAGAAAGAGGCAAACCAAAAACGAACAGAAAAAGCCAGGCAAACAGCATTGATGAACAGACTGAAGCGGAAAGCTGGGGATCTTCACGATATGAGAGTTGAAGGTGATGAGAAAAGTGATTCCTGGGCAAAACGGATACAGGAGATGTATTTTACACCAAAATTTTCTGCCATAGCACCTCTCAACAAGGACAATCCTTTTGGGAAACCCCAGACTCAGCGCATTGGGATAGAGCGTGAAAGAGCAGTCATGAGTTTTTTGGTTCAACTCCTACTTTTGCTGCAAAAGCTCTTGACTCCACCACGTGGGGAAAAAGTGGAGCAAGTCCTGGATTGTGTCATTCTTGATGATACATCGACCCGGACCCAAGATAAGGACAGTATGCGGTCTATCCATTCTGTGACAAACACAGTGCAAACTCTGCACGTGATGTACAGTGACAGCTCATGTGAATGCACAATGTTGCCAACACCGTTCCTAAGCCTACCAAGCCAAAAGACTGAAGATGTGTACGGTGCATACTCTGCTCACCTGATCGTGTCCAATGGTTCTATTGGTCACAGAATCCAAGCATTGGAGAATGCAGTGCCGAACATTGGGGCCAAATTGCAGGATTTGCTGGATCAGGTTGGCTGGAAATTGCATGTTTTTGTAGGAGATGCTGCAAAAACCAACAGCGCCATTTTCAAGATTCAAAAGCGTCACCAATTGGCAGTCGGTGCTAAGCGCAAGCTTTCCATCCAAATTAAGTGCCTCTTGCACCAAATTTGCTTGGTTCGGCGTCCATCAATATTGGCAATTGATGCCTACTGGAGCACAGTGGTGCGGCTAGCCCACTTATTTGAGAATTGGAGTTTCAAACGCCAGTTCGGCATTTCGTTGCTACACATACTTAGACAGCCTGGACGCTTTCAGCGTGTCTTGGCCTTGGTTTTTGAACGCCGCAAAGTAGAATTGAGAAAACGTGTTCTGGAGAGGTCCATAGGGTCAGAGGGCTTCCATTCTGGGACCAAAGGGTTCAAAGTTAATTCAGAAGTTCAGGCTCCAAACTCCAGACTCACAACTTGGCAAGTGGACTTGTCTTGTGAATTGCAGACTAGTTACTAGTTCATTCTTTATTGTATTGCAAAGTGAAGAGCGAGTGACGTGAAACAACCAAATTTGGTGGCTGGAACTTGCTGAAGTTTCGCTAATTTGCTCAAAGCACCTTGGAACTTAGGTATTGCAGTGTCTGAATTCCCAGATGAGATGAGCAACTGGAAGCTTCGGGCTGATTGGCTTGTGAAAGGGTTCTTTCCTACTGCAAAGGGGGCCATTGATCTGCTGAAATCATTGCTCCAACTGCTCAATGGGAATTCTATGGAACCTGTCTTTACTCATTGGTGTTTGCCAGGTTGCTGTGGCAGCCAGCAGGAATCTTTACAGAAAGTGGCAGAGGTGGCAATCCCACTATTCTCACGGGGATTTCAATGTCCCTTGCTCTACCGGTTCAAGCACTACACTGTCGCAAGTTCCTATCTTCGTACGGCTTGCTGTTGTTTTGATTTGCTTCCACAAGTGCTGACACAGCTGAATGCAGTTGCAAGTGAGCAAGACTCTAAATTGGTGGATGGGCTGCTGCAAGATTCAGGGGTTCCTGTGGAAAATACCGAGCTGGGTGATTTGCTTGACAATGACCTGTCCTTCAGCTTACAGAACAGTGTCCGTAGGCGAAAGGTTGTTGAGCAGGTGACCAAAACTGAGTTTCCTCAGTCAGTCATTATGGTCGACGTGATTGTCAATGCTCTTGAATATGGTTCCAATGCCTTGTTCAAACGAACAAGCTTGCTGACCCGCATGTCCACTTTAGGTTCCCATCATCCAGAATACGCTACACTGGCCAATGAGTGCATGGAACGCTTCCTTGATATTACTTCTGGATCTTTCGGAAAGCGGTTGATTGAGCGCACTGTGGTCCTCTTGGATGTAGGGCTACAAGAAATGATTGATTTGGGAGGGTTCAGTCCAACACCTGAAAGATTGGTGCTATTTTTTCCGCTTGATCGTGTCCTGCATGAGTGACCTTTGGCGGCGCATGATTTTTGAGTTTTCCAGATACCCTTGGAAGTGGTTTGACCTTTTGGCACAAGACTTGTCTTTACAGGAATTTGTTGAGAAATTTGATCAGGTTCTGGCACAAAGCACAAGTCAATGCTGCTCGTGTGTGGATTCAGAGTTCTCACGGGTTATTTTGGCTGAGTGTTCGACCTCCTTGTCAAATGAGCCCATGCATGAACAATATAGAATCTACAATGATGTCAAGCAAGTTCTGCAGCAAGTCGCACAGTGTTCACCAATGAATGCTGACAAGGTTGAAGTGAAACATGGGAACATGCAGTGGTGCGTGGCAAAGCGTGCATCATCCTATGTGAAGCGAGGAAAATCAGGAGTTGAATCTTCGTTCCTCCAAACCTGCATTCAGAATCATGGGGTTGTGCAACAAGACGTTTCTAAAGCAACTATGCCGTCTGCAAGGAGCAAAACCGCCATAGAAAGGCAAATGGGTGTATCATCACGGAACCAGCACTCCATCAATCAGGCAGGGCTAAGGTTTTTGACTTCTCACTTCCCACTTAATGTATTTCTCAGAACTCCGACTGCGGTTAAACAGCCAGGGTTTGTCCAATCTACTACGAACTTTATCTACCTGTGATTTCCTGTGAGTTTTCAGTCTGCTGGGTCCCTGTGAAGGAAGTCAGAGTGCGGAGACCTGTTGAGTCAAGTGAGGAGAAGAACTTACGAATTCAGAAAGCAGCCCACCGCACAGTTCGTGCACTTTCTGGATGGAACATATTTCAACGGGAGAACTCACAGCACATGCAAATGGGAACAGCAGAGTACAAATCTCACGTTAAGAACCTGTCAGCTCAATGGAGGTCATTGAGCAGTGATGACAAAGCTCCTTGGAATATTCAGGCACGCCACGAGCAAATGTGCCGTGAAGAGTTGGTAGACACACCTTTGCCAGTCAAAGGTGAGGGCATGAGTGAATTGGACCTCGCGGTTGGGAGGAAAGGCCGCTCCAAGTTGTCTGGCAGGAGATTGCAGGTCAACACTGAGCTGTATAACCAGCACTTCTTGTGGTCAACGCCCACGCAATTGGGGGATGGCCTCTTGGCTGTAAGAAGAACCAAAACGGTGGGACATTCACCATGGACCATGGGACCTACTATCCTGACAACTAGACCCATCCGTTAGCTGGTTGGCGCAAATATACCATGCACATGTTCAACAGCAGTTTGATTGCGCGGTTCTTCGATCCTGCATTGATGGATGAGTGTCAGTGGATGCGGCAGCGGGTTGCAGTTTGGGCTAGAGGCTAATTAGAAAGCATAGCAGGCAGCATGAAGGAAGCTTTAAGAAGGAGGTTGAAGAGCCAAACAAAGAGCAAGAAATACAGAGAGAGAGAGAGAGAGACAGCGAGAGAGGGGGAGAGGGGAGGAGAGAAACAAGAAGTTGGGGATGAGGCCCAGGAGTCAGGAGATAAATCTCTATTGTCACGTCTGTCTTATAACTTAATATAATATATAAATAATATACTGTAAATATGTATGTAACTGTAAATGACTAATGACAAATGATAATAATATGTTTTTCAGCACGCGCACTGCGCATTTCTACCCACGCGCCCAGCCAATTTCTTAATTGGGTCGAGTTGAGTGACATGTGAGATAGACAGTGAAGATAATCTGAGTCTCAGCCTTAACCTTAGCCAGAATCCTTCCAGCAGTATTAGGTATCCGGGACTGCAGGGTCATGTTACATGTTACACGTCAATTCAAATTCAATTTCTTGTATGTATTTGACCGCTTGAGGTGGTGGAAAGAACACTTACATACAAGTTCAGTGCACTTTTGACTTTTGCCTTAACCTGTCACGAGATTCAGTCCATGACAAACCACGGCCGGAGATCCATAGGATGCCTGTGTTTACAGATTTTCGCCAACTTGGCAAGCAATGGAGGTCCAACCATAAGGGGGGCTACAAGGGCTATGGCTACGGCCCCGGCTACAGTGCTATCAGCTATCCAGTGTATCCATTCATTATCAATCACTACCCGTGCCAATTGCCATGGTCTCCTCTACTCAGACTCTGACTCAACAACAACAATAACAACATTTGTATCTGTATAGTCTAGTCATAGCAATTTCAAGCAAGGGATGAGAGGCACAGCGCAGCCCTAGACACCGGGACACACTAGGCACCTCAATCACAGGTAAGGGCACTGCAATGGTTGAGTTATGAATCAGTGATTGAACCCGTGGATAGTTTAATCCTGATCAGAACACTGATCACCTGATTGATGAATTCATTGATTCATTGACCGCTATTGACGACCAAAAAACAACTGAGATTTTGATTTTGGTAAATTTCCCAAAGATTGACTGCCTTATTGATAGGGTTTGGTTTCAGAATTGTAAGGGGGCCGGGTGACTCGCTATCTATGCATTCATTAGCACGACAACAATCATTACTACAGCACTAAAATTGAAAGAGGATTCTCCCCATAGTGGCACTGGTTCTTCTATGTCACACCAGGTCCACACTTTACCGCTATCTAGGGCCATCCAGGAATCCTCCATGTATCAACAATCAGAATCAGGATCCAATCAAAAAAAAGATTGTTCGAGATCTAGTTGAGAATTCAACCTTCAAAGACTTGTGATCTTTCCAAATGGTTGTGTTCAGCCAAGGTGATGGTGCATTGAAGGCTGAGCTTATTGATGTCAAATCGCCTGACGATGAAGTGTCAGCTTTCTTGCAAAAAACCATCCACGCTGTCTACCAGGATGTTGTGGGTGACAATTCAGAGAAGACTGAAGATCTTGCTGACTCGACTCTTGACTGCTTTCCAGGAGGACTTTGCAGGTCCAGTTGTCATTTTGACAAAGCCAACCAATTCGTGTACAGGTTGCACAGGGAGTTGGATGAGAGGAAAATCAAGTCAGGCTCCTGGCTGACTCTCACCCTGACAGACCACCACCACACACATGTATATTTTTCAGGCATTAGTCTGAAGAAGCCGCTCCTGCAAACGGCTATCCTTGCGTCGATTCAAGATGACATGGTTTCATTCCAGCATGAGCCAAACAGCTCCATTCCGTGCATAACGACAACACACCATATGTTTTCGCAAATGCTTGAGACAGGAAGTACGGCTACAACTGTCCATGTTGAGCGTTGGCTTTACACGCCTTTGATTGATGACACGAAAGCGCTTCGTGTGAATGCTGACCATGTTTTGACATCTTTCACCATTGACATTGCCTCCTCCAAGAGCGTCTCAAGAAAGCGTCCAATCAAGTTGCCATTCGGGCTGAAAGAGATCCGGAAACCACGGAAAAGAAAGGTAAAGGAAGTGGCTGGGGCCAAGTACCAGAATGAGGCCAAAGAGAGAAAGCGTGAGAGGCAAGACGGGGTCCAGGATCCCACAGACAATTTGCCTTGTGAACATTCAAGCTCCATGTTTGATGCAAACAGCAATTCTGAGAGTGGCTCTGACTCTGACTCTGGTTCTTCCAGGGGCGACCATTGCGAGATTGAGGATAGTGGTGACATGGCACCTTTTCTTGAAGAAGACAATGAAGTTGAGCCAATCTCTGAAATCATGGAGAACGAAATGAAAGCAGAGTGGCAGGTAGCCCAGGAAATTCAGGAAGCAGACAAGAACAAAGCGAAACTGGCCAAATACGTTGAAGCTGAAGGGACAGCAGAACCAAAGAGCAGATCAAAGACATTCTTCTCGCAACGACTTGGCTTGGGATTTGGAAGCGTTGCTCCAACAGGCCGAGCAAAATGCTACCACTGCAAAGGATTAATTGGGCGAGATACGATTCGCTTTGAGTGGTACTGGAATAAGCTCAGGCCAAATGGCTGGCTTCATAATTACTGCCTCATTGAGACCGCGCAAAAATTTGAACTCATTGATGAGACAATGAGGCAATTGGATGAACTCACCAGTGGCAGCTCAAGCAGTGACAACACTGTAAGGGAGGAAAGTGCTCGCATTCTTGCAAGCATGCGGGCAAAGGCTAGTTGACAGTTCAAGTTCAAGTCAATGCCACAGGGCCAGAGCAATGTGGGCCATACGGGCCATACGCAAAGCCTTGTGTCAAGTCTGTTCTTTCCAGCTCCTCAAGTTGCTGGTGAACAGGGCTATAAAATGGCCATCTCAAAGGTTCAAAAGTTGCTTTGCGTGTGTGCTGCTGCTGCTGCTGCTGCTGCTGCTCATCAGTCATTATTTTGCAAAGCTGTGAACAACAATCAGCGATTCCCATGGGTTGGTTCTTTCTCCTGCGTTTCATTGGTATGTGAATGTGCGGTTGCCATGTCCAGACATCCAATTTATGGTCGAAGAAGAGGATCTGATATGATGATATGATGATGAGTCATGAGTCAAGTCATGAGTCATGAGAGACTCTACTTTGCAGTGCTAATAGTCGAGTCAATAGCTAACAAGCAGGCAGTAGAGAAACACAATCAGCTTCAGCCAAATTTCTGCTTTGATTTGTCAGCAATTCGCCCTGTGACAGACGCCGCTCGACTACATGATGAACGGGCAACTCCACCACGATGATCACATTGAGAATATTGGACTTTCATTGGTCCCGGGATAATCTTTGGTGATCACAAGTTGTGAGCAACTCTGCTGCAATTATTGAAAGAACAGAAGGGTGAGTGGGACATGATAGAAACGTGATCACTTCAGCACTGGCTAAAGTTCAAAGATTGGAATTTGCTGAATGTTTTCAGATCTTATACATCCAATCTAACGTGATTCCACATTGTGATCGATGGATTGATTGGCATTTACTGTTTACTGACTCATGAAGTCATGGGATCATGAAAGGATAGCCAGAGTCAGTGTTGTTGCCAGTCATTGCCGTATTGCGAGTTGCAACTTAGTTCAACGTTCAACTCAACTCTTGACTGTTGGCTTCAAACCTCGTTGCCATGAGCCATCCATAAGTCATGAACTGCCCTATGAGCCAGTAGGAGATCAAACCTGGAAGTTTAAGTAGTCTCATGTCATGTCATGTCATGACTCCTGGCCGATCTGGTTGGTAGTGGAAAATGTGTGAAGTGATGATTTCATGTGGGCCTCTTCTTCAGGGCCTCCAGATTTCATATGGCGCAAAGCAGAAAGCGGATCTATGTCATCATGGTGCGTGATGATATTTGTCCGTCTCCTCTGGCCATGAAATTAGGAGAGATCATCAATTTGGTGCTGCCGAATGCCTTGTACAAAGCAGAGGGTGATGATGGGTACTTTGTTCGTGAAACAATTCACAACATCATGGCATATGACAAGGCCGTTTTGCACACTATGGGTGCCCAACATGTCAAGCCACGCGTCTCTCAGGACCCATTTTTGGGATGGTGTGAGTGTGGGTTGTTCCCAAACCTTTGGCAGGGGGGGGGGGGTGTGGTGGGCTTTGCGGGGTTGTCGGGGATTTTCGTGGGTCGTCGGACCATTTTCGGGAAGTGTCGGACAATTTCCGGGGAGGTGGCAAGAGGAGGTCCTTTATTTAAACTAAAAGGGAAACTATTTACAAAATCCTGGAAACCATTTACAAAATCCTGGAAACTATTTACAACAAAGACTTGAGCACTTTGGACCTCCCCCCAGGATGGCAAGACCTCCAAAGAGCGGAAGAAGCTGGTGAAGCACATGAAAAAGGAGCTGGGCATGAGTCCCTTTGGCAGCATGCCAATTTACAGCATGTCAGAGCAATGCCCAAGGGAGATCGCGCAATCCCTCAACTCCCGAGAGCGGGAGTCCCTGGACATCCACTGGGCCAGCCTTCATGTGACTTGGCAACTTTTAAGCCTTGGGTAAGGTAGGCTGTTAAGTCTCACCTTTAAGCAAAAGTAGAATCCCACACAAGTCAGGGGCCCAACTCCAACCTTTATACTTTTAGATTCCTCAGTCCTGGCTCTGATTCCTGATTATGTCTGTGTGTACTAATCAGCCACTTCTTCTATTGGCCCAGGACTCCTGACTGCTGTCACTCCACTCAACTAAAGATAACCAGTAACCAGTGACCACTCAAACTTACTTAGTTAAGTTAAACTTAGCTTAAAAGCGCAACTTCATGATGCGAGTCGTGCGATTGTACATAAAGTAAATTAGTAAATAGTAGGAAACCGCTTGGAACCGTTTCCCGCTATTTCTAAGAAATAGTTGGAAACCGTTTGAAACCGTTTCCCGCTATTAGTAAGCATATGGCCAGGATTTGGACCAATTAGTCTCAATTAGTTTCAAATGGTTTCAAATGGTTTCCAGCTTTGATATGCTTACAAATAGTCTGAAACCGTTGGAAACCGTTTCCGGCTATTTCTAAGAAATAGTGTGAAACCGTTTGAAACCGTTTCCCGCTAATAGCTAAATTGTGGCATAATTCGCATCGCGTCACATAACATACTTTGAACTTATGTATCATAGAATGATATGATATGATAGTATAGTATAGTAGCATAGTATAATCATAGTCTAGAGTCATAGTAATAGTCAGTAATAGTTTAGTATTTTATAAAGCATTAAGTTATATGATATGACAAGACTCTGACAATACTATAGCAGCTTCAATATGTAGCTTAAGCTTGCAATAAGATAAGAACAAGCAAAACAGCCGGCCGTATCTGTTGATTACAACAACAATAACAACACCAGCAACAACAACCTACTACTACTACTACTGCTGCTACTACTACTACTACTACTACTACAGCATAACATAACCTGACTTATTCCATTCCACTACGTTGAGGCACATAATAATAGTCTGAGTCTAGTCTAGTTCGGTCAGTCTCTTAACTGTCTCACTTTAAGTAACCTTCAAAGTCTGAATGATGATGAATCATTTACGGTTTACCGTTTACTATTAGAAAACACCTCAATTTGTACAACTGGTACCTGCAGGTGAACTTTTGCATTCCCACTGGAAGCTGCTTTGTAAACTTCTTAGGACTTTCTTCGATATGTTAACATTTTGGTGGTTCGGTTTGTGGTTGAAGTTTCAGAAGTTCAGAACTAGGATCTTGAGTCTGACACTATCTAACTACCTATGTTTGACTGGAACTAGCGGTTATTTGCTGATATGTCATTTCCTCGTGGAAATGTCAGGAGCTAACGAAAAAACAGCAAGGTGTGGGGTCGCATTTGTATTTGTAGATTTTGCAGTACACTTTTCTGCCCAAGGTTGTGAACGAAACCTCCTCTTGAGACACTTTCAACTGGTCTTAATACACAAATTATACGAGACGATACAAATAATACAATCCAGGGTTTACGCAAACGTTCTGGTAACTTTGACTTGTGAGTGCCATGGCAGATGCTGAAAACCTCCCACCTTGCCGCCTGACACTGGTACAAGAAGCGTTCACTTTGACCTCAGAGATGAAGCTGTTGCAACAGCAGCTGAGCAGGACGAGTTCAGCACTTGAGCAGCTCCAAAGTAGACTGGTAAAGTGGATTGACTTGTGCGAGTTCGCAAAATTTCATCCCTCCTCATCTACTAGCCTCAAACATGCATTGTCTGAGACTTCTACTGAAGTGGTGGCATCATCAGGGTGTGAGGATGTTGATCCCACTGAATGTGGCAGTGACCCCGGGATTAGTCCAAGTGCAATGGTGTGTGATGAAGGTGATGAACCCCGTCCGGCAGCTGCTTCTTCAGCATTCAGCTTGCGAGACCCTGTGTCATCTCAATCCATCAAACTCATTAGGTCCTCAGCCAGGTTCTTCACTGAGAATGACAGAAGCAGGCCTCGTTCAAGATCTCGAGGACCATTCAACCGTGGTTGCAGGAAGTTCTAGGGCAAAATGAGGTAGTTGCACTCACTTTGAAATTTTACACAGGAAACCACATTTTGGCGCGGAAGTCTACGCCAATATATTCCGGCGTTGCATAATTTGAGCAGTTTACTTGAACTGAATCTTAATTGACACAGTGACACAGTCCAGTGATCAAGTTGGATATTCCAACTGGAGTGGCAACTCCAAGTCATTGGAGAGAGATTGAATTCGCGCAAAAAACACGTGGAGAGATTCAGACTGGTGGACAAGGATCTGGGATGGGATGGCATTCAACAGAACTCACTTGGAGTCACACACGGCTCAGGCGAGTGGGATAAATCCAGAGGAGAGCTTCTGCAATTGCGATTTGGCCAGACGCTTGCTTTTCAATCAGATCAGGTCGGTCGAGTCTAAAACGCACACTTGAATCATGCGTTTCACTAACTAACTCCTTTTTCACCCCTTGACTGTCAAACACAAACCATGCATTGGATAGCAAATAGCAAACTGACAGCGACTTTCTAGGCGCCGTGTCCAATCCTTGTTGGAAAGACCGAAACACGTTTCATATTCAGAGTTGCAAATAACAGTTTCCTTCAGAGTGTGCAGATTCACTTCAGGATCTGTTGGGCGCCACCATGTTGGAAAGAACGGTCACGTATCCTGTTTGACCACCATGGTCAAGATCTACGACTTTGCCACAAAAAGGATGCTGTGTGGCCAGGAGAAGTTGGACCATGTCTTTAAATTTCACTGACTGGTTTCTCTTTGTTTTTTGCTTTTCGACTGCAGGATGAAACACCAGATCTGATCTGACTGCTAATTTAATTCATAGTCAGAGTCAGAGTCATAGGGACCATAGGGATCATAAGTTTTTTTTTTTGAATTTTGGTGTTGGACAAATTCCGCGATGTATTACTCCACTTTGAACTCCCTTCATTACCCAGTGACTCCAGGACCTATTGGGCTTGCAAGGCTTCGATGCAG